TATTACAGGGCATCTTGTTTTTGGATAGAATATTTAAGTATAGGGTCTAAAGTATGTGTTTGTAATTTTTTTCATGGCTTCAGACCAAAAGGGTTTATATTTATTTGTTTTATCCAGCATACAATATTGAGAGCATATTGTGTACCTCATGGGGGTATATCAGATGAATATAACAGATGTCAACAACTGTGAAGGGTCTGGGATTTCTCTCTACTTGCAAGCTAACAAGATAGCCTGCTACAGTTTCATCCATGCTGGCAGGAGACACAACAATCTTGGGTCAAAGTTGAGAGAGAGTTTATTACTTACAGCAATAAAAGTATCCACAGTATCAGCATTTTTGCATTAATACCCAGAGACTCAATACCTACAGGGTGATGCCAAGAGGACCTGATAATACCTACACAGACCATGAATTCTGTTATGGGAGAAGAACTCTGAAATTAGGAATCCCAAATATTTTCTAATAGTAATTATACCTGCCCCTTGCTCCAGAGAAAGACATAATCTTGATCTTCCAAAGCTGTTCACTATGCAAACATTCTTAAAAAGATAGTCAAAATGGCAATTATGAAGATTGCATTAAAGTTAAGGAAAGAAAGTAATAAGAAACAGAGAGTGCATTAGGAGGGTTGATGTACTGCCAAGGATACTCTGGAAAATAATAATCACATGAGCCCTTTGAAGCTAAGCATCTCACTGTGCCTTTGAGGTCAAGTATCCCAGTGTCATAGCTTTTCTGGTAGTCATGCCCTTTCTAAGGATAAAAAGGTGAGATAGGCTGAAGCATTTATTTCTGAAGTTGGCCTGGATTCTACAGGTTTACTTAGCATGTCATAGCCTAAGTGCCATAGAAAGCACTCAGTTTAGGAGTCGTTGCAGGTAGGTACCTAGGGAGGGTTAATATTATTCTGTCCAAAGAATACTGAATATGCCACAGTTCTTGCTCTGCTAATTATGCCATGTTCTTTGGATGGCTTTTGTACTTTGAATGGTTCTCTTGCTACACCAGCATCTGCTGGGTTTCCTAAATATAACTCTTGATGACTCCTTAACTTTTAGTTTCCTATGAGTTCTACAATGAGCCTCTTTTGCAGTTTCTATCCCTCTTCTAAACTTCTAAGGCATGATATTGACATAGTCAGTATATATCTTTGGAATTTCTTATTTGAAGCATATACATTGGCTCTGTGTATTATTCTAAACTCTTTAGTTGAGTTATAACTACATATCTGCATAGTATCTCAAGTTCAATATATAATAAAGAGTAGACATTGATCTTTTTTTTGGAAAGTTCAAAATATTAATTTATCCATTAATCAATACGATCACCAAATAGTTATTAAGTGCTTATTACATACTAACACGTACAACTGCATTCTCATTACTTTTCTCTTAATTTCCTATCACTAATAGGAAAACATTGTTTTTGCTTAGGACTTCTCATCTTGCTGCTCAAATAGTGTCCATTTCTCATGGAATTTCTCCTTTATAATCTTTCCTAACATTGGTTAATTTATCAATGAAATAAGGAGAAATTATAATTACCTTTTATCAGCAGCATACTTACGTGATTTACCAATGTTATGATGGAGCTTGGATTCAACAGAGATGCTCTATGTAAGCTTTGTGTTTCTTCTTATACATAGGAACAATGGTTTCCACTAGAGAATAGTTATAACACCTCAAGGATTATTACTGCTTGTGATGGCACTACCAAGATAATAAGTTGACCTTAAATATCCAAGGTAATTCATTTAAAAAGACAGTGGACTATGTATTATTCTCTGTTTATTATGACTCTTTTTTCATCTTTTAATGCAAATATTGTATAAAATAATGTTAACGATTATAATGATAAAAATGACACTTATGTGTATATTTTAATAAAGGTTTCAGAGTTTTTTATTTATTGAAATATTAGTTTATTTTGGGACCTACTACGTGCCAGTGATGTTGGAGATGCTAGGGATATAGTGCTGGCGAAATAGGTAACATTCTTTTCTCCTGTGTGGTTTGCAGTCTAATATTAAGAGAGATGAGCTGAATACCACAGCTAAGTACCACAGCTAGGAAGTGGCTTAACTGGAATTCAAAATTGGAATTGTTTGACCTAAAGTCCAAATCTTTCCCTTGCCTTGAAGTCTTGACTCAGTTATTAATGTTTTCTACAAAAAAAAAACCTCCAAAAAACAAAAAGAGTTTTAAACATAGGCTTATTTCACAAATGATAACAATACTGTGAAAGCGGTTTTAAGATGTCAGCAGATATTGTCAAAAGAGTAAACTAGCCACTTGGGCAATTTTAAGAGTCAAAACATATCTGTTCTTATTAGGTTAGAATACAGGCAAGCTCTAATTCCTGAGAATCACTCCATTTTAGATTATTACAGAATTTCCTAAAGATGTTCAATATTGGGTAGATCTAGGGTTTCTATACCACAAATAAATTCTCCTTGATTTTTTTTTTTTCTTGAGACGGAGTTTCACTCTGTCACCCAGACTGGAGTGCAATGGTGCAATCTTGGCTCACTGCAACCTCTGCCTCCCTGCAACCTCTGCCTTCCAGGTTCAAGTGATTCTCCTGCCTCAGCCTCCCGAGTAGCTGGGACTACAGGCATGCCCTACCATGCCTAGCTAATTTTTTGTATGTTTAGTAGAGATGGAGTTTCACCATGTTATCCAGGGTGGTCTTGATTTCCTGACCTCATGATCTGCCCGCTTCAGCTTCCCAAAGTGCTGGGGTTACAGTTGTGAGCCAACGTGCCTGGTCTAAATTCTTCTTGATTTAAGAACCTTTTGGTCAAGCCATTCTCTAAAGACTAACTTCAGGTTGTATTATAATCCTAGTTCAAGAGAACAGAATGTAAATGCTAAGACATATACCTATATGCTTCTCTGAATTCCATAGGGGACATAATCAGGATGCTACCAGAAAAATAATGGGGGTTATCAGAGTTCTTAATTTTTTACTCCATATCCATAAGAAAATGCACTGGCCATTTTATGTATTACCACCTATAGTAGGCAGAATAGTCCCTCACATATGTTCACACTAATTTCTGAAACCCATGAACATAGAAAACATGACATTGCAAGTGTAATGAAAATTATGGATCTAGACTATATGGATAGCCCTAATCCAACCATGTTGAGTCCTTTAAAGCAGAGAAATTTGTCTGTCTGTGATTAGAGAAATGTAGCAGAAAGGCAAGAAGGATGTGGCGTAAGGGAAATCAGAGAGATTCCAACTCTGAGAAGTTTTGATGATCCACTGTTGGCTCCAAGGTGTAGGGGCTCACATGCAAAGATGGAAGCAGGCCTCTAGGAAAAAAGGGTGGTCTCTGCCTGACAGCTACAAGCAAATGGTTGCCTCAGTCCTATACCCACAAAGAAATAAATTATGACAAAAATCTGAGTGAACTTGGAAGTGGATTCTTCCCCAGGGCCTCCAGCAAGGAATGCTACGCTGTTAACACTATAATTTTAGCTTGGTGAAAACTGCAGTGAATTTCCACACTACGGAACTGTGAGATAATAAATGGGTGTTATTTTAAGGTGTTATTTATTAATGCAGTGATGAAAAACTAATGCATTACTTTTGGCAATATTTCACTGCCTCTTGTCCAGTCTGTTATTTTGACTCATACATTCTGTCTTATCAAATTTCATTGAAAATACTCAGCTTAAGACTTGTTTTTCATCTTTGGCCTCACCCCTTTCTGATTGAAATCTCAGTTCTTAACAGTTTGTTTCATTCTCATACCTTCTTTCAGCTTTGGCTATTTCCCACAGTTCTTTCTTTTCTCTAAATAAGTAGTTCATATCAGACTCACTCTACTCACATGCTTAGATCATGCTCCAGGATATAAGCTAATTTTTCCTTTCCTTTCATAGAATGTTTTTTCCTGTTTTTAGAAACTGTCTTTCTGTATTACATACCAACATCATCATACCTCTGTGAGACAAATACACAAAATTTCCCCTTCCCCACTTCTCCATCTAATAATTTAGACATTTTGCCTTCAATGGGTTCATACCATTGTGTATTTATTCTCATAGTTAGCAACCCCCACTTAGGGCCCATAGTACTAAATAAATGCAGTTGTAAAAAGGCATACAAAGTGGCCTTATAAGAGCAAAGGATAAAAAAATAAGAGTGCCAGAAGACATCTAAACTTTTAATTATTTTTATCTTTACATGATTTTGGTAATTGAACCTTTTAGTGTTAATGCTCCAGATTAACTGGAAAATACTGAAAATATTTTCATGAAGCTGTAGCGGCTACAGGGAAAAGGTTTCTAGGGCTAGCAAGTCTTCAGGCTTGCAAACATCAGTATACTGATTGGTAAGTGACCTGGACTCTACTTTATCTGGAGAGTTGAAACAACAGTGAATTTAGCGTCCAAAGAATATGGGAAATTGCAGATTTGGAGGTCTTGGCGAAAAATAATGACAATTTTATTATGTATGTGGCCTCCAGAGATCACCAAAAGAATCTTCCAGTCTCCAGGGACATGTGTGATAACTTATAAATTTAAATGTCTTTGAATTAGAACTAGATGCCAGAAAATACTCAAATAACAGTAGATTAAGTTACATATAAATTTCTTCCTTGCATAAAAGAAGTTCATGTTCAGATAGATTGGAACTGATATGGTAGTTTCATTATTACCAGATACTCACAAAATTTACTTCCGACTGGCTCTCCATTATCCTAACATTGTAACTTCTACCCTAAATATCACCTCTTGGTTTTAAAAAACACTAGATATCTGTTGATGTATCTGCATTTAAGTCAACAGGAAGGATGTGGAAGTGAGGAGCAGAAACTGATATTCTTCCTGATCAATTTCTTCTGAAAACTCTTTATTGAAGTTCTATAAAATGCTTGGTTTAATGTCATTAGCCTGATGCTATTTGGCCAAACATAGTTAAAAGGGAGGAAGGGAAATTAAGGATTTTATCTAAGTAAATAAACCCTAAATAAAATCAGTGTTCTGTTTTAAGGAAGAGGGAAAGAAGAGATATTTTCTCCATATTTTAAATAACACTTTCTGCCTGATTCAAATTAAAAGATTTCTACAAAAGAGAACCTTTCTCCATCTTTGTAGGATGTGTGGCTTAGAATACAATTATTCTTTGTTTTCAGAAATGTCTTGTAAATTAAGCTCATTAAGAGTCCACTCAAAAGGCAAAAAAAGAAAAAAAAAAGAAGTGAAATGCAGTAGATTTTATGGGTTTTAACTTTTCAACTGAAGACATGCCCCTGAATTTTCAAGAAAGCCTATCCTTTCTTCACTTTAAGCCCATTTGGATTTGGCTGGTTGCAACACCCCCTTATGTCCCAGAGAAGCCTTGATTGGCCTAAGCTAATCACGCATACAATGGCTAAGGGGATTCTTAAGGGATAAGCAAGAAGCCCAATTCTATTAAGGGAGGGTCAGATCCAAGATTTTACCTGATTCTTAGAAACTAAGAAACTTAGTTTCTCTTGATGCCAGACACTTACCTGGAAGATTGCATCTCTGAAAGCAGCTGGCAGTAATCCTGTGTCTCTGGATGCAACTGGCAATAATCCTGAGACCTCAAGGGAACAGGCTGTCTGAGAATGGAGTCAATTTACAGACAGATATTTTAACAGGCAGAAAGTGAAGTCAGATCACTGGAGATCCTATAGGAATTCCAAAGAAATCATGTCAGTTAAGCAAAATTGTGTCAGGTTTTTTATCCATTTACAGCCAAAATAGTCTTTATCATCATAGAAAAAAAAAGCATATATGATTGACTATTATATATTGGTTACCATGCATTTCATGTTGACATATTTTCTTTTAATAGTGCCCAATAATGTCTCCATAAAAAATGGATAATAAAAAATATATCCTTTAGCCAGTCAAAGAAATACTAGATTGTTATTTTCCAAATGGAAGAAATTTTTGCTGGATTACAGCATTATAGTATTCCTTATTTCTTTTTATCTTTCTTCATATTGTAGCACCGGAGCGAGCAGAAAATCAACACCAAGACAAAAGTATGCCAAATTGCAGGGTCTTTTTGCTGACGGCCACGGAGGAATCATGTCTCTCCAACCCATGGCCCCGAGCTCATGGGGAGCAAGGCATTTAAGCTGCAAAACCACATCCTTTTCTTGTTCAAGGGGACACAGGGGTGTGCAAGGCAAGCTTTTTGTACAGAAGCTAAAGTCTGCGGTTTATTGCAAGGGAAGAGGGGTAGCAGTGGAAATTTTTACCCTTAACACTTCTGAGAATTGACGTACATTAACTGTTCTGAGAACGACACCTCTGCCCAGGGCCCAAGTGGCTTCTCTATAAGATGCCAGTGCTTAGGCTTCAGTTCTAGCCCCTATCTCAATATCGCCTCTGATTTCTGCTGTTTGTTCAAAAATTTATAAAGTTATTTTGGTATGTATGTATAGCTAAAACATAGATAACCAGGACTAGTTGAGCTTAATAAGCTTCTTCCATCCAGTTTTATTCTCTTTTTAATCATTCCCCACAATAATTAAACACACCTTGTTTATCATAGTAATTGACAACTTTGCCATAGACTGTAAATGACACATATGATGAAACATCTTCACAAATATTTAGTTTCTGTTAATGTCACAAGGTAGTATTTGGCAGCATTAGTAGGCATGGAATATTAATTTTTAAACTTTTGACTGCCTTGCATGTTGTCTTTTACCAAATCTACAAAAGCTATTTTTTTTAGTTTTGTAGCCCTCGGGGTAGCAAGTTCATTGCATCAATTCAGAGGAAAAAGAAATGACATTTGGAGTTTTGAAACAGACATTTGGCGCGTATAGTACACACAATAGTTTTTGGAGAAAAACATTTGAATTTAAAAGCTTGTCTTTATTATGTAACAAAAGTTCAGGGTTTTACTCTCTACACAGAAAGCATATACAAAAAGTTTATTGAGTAAGAAAACACAGGGAAGGATATAAAAGAAATAAAAGAGGTAGATGTTGGAGACACTGCTGTGGGCTTTCTCTTGCTTAAGTTCCCAGCACAAAATAACTCATACACATTTCTCTCCAGGTTAGGGATATAACCACAGTGGACACCTGTGCCTTGTATTCAGGAGCGGGTGTCTGAGAATATAGCAAGATTCTAGAATGATTTCCACACCACAGAAGGGAGATACATGGGAGAAGTGAGTGTTTTTAATTAGAGGTCTTGAATTAGCCCCCCACCAAGTTTGCTGTCTACTCGAGATAGAAGTAGCTGCATTTTTCTAAGCTCTTAGAAAAAATCAGCAATAGCAAAGAGAAAGAGGGAGAGCTGCCTCCTTGTACGTTAATATCCAATGACAGAGAAATTTTGACTAACATTTAGTCAAATGAAAGTTTCAAATTATCATGCTTCTGACTGGTTGTCTGTGGAAATCCTATTACTTTGGATTGAGGATGTGTCTCCTAAGATAATTTGTATCTGCTTCTGCCTGAGGCCCAGTTGGAATACCCATCTTAGATAACTCTCAAATGTAACCCCTTATGAGGCCAGGCCTATGGCTGTAATTTCCCAGGGGAGCTCCTCTTGCTTTTGTTCCTCTGGTTCAGACTGAAACAGAAAGTCTGGGTGAGCAAACAGATTTTCCTCACCACCTTCTTCTGGTGTTAAGTGAATTTTTTTTCTGGTCTATTCTTGAATTGAGGTTATAGAATTTCACAAGTTCCAATTTTATTTCAGGGCTACAGCTCCAAATCTCCCTGTTGTCCAAGCCCAAAATCTTGTATTCTATAAGGCACTTAACACTCAAGGCTGTATTTTTACCAGAATTGGAAATATCCTGGCAGCTTCTGTCCTGGCTTTAATATACACTTGCAACCCTGATTTACTGCTTCCTATTTAGGTTGAATCTTGGGGATTTCTCTTATTTTCCAGTGAATTCAGTACATTTAAAAAGATGCCAGTTATATTCTGTCTCAATGCTGTGTGGCAGAAGTTTCATCAGGATATCTGTTTTATCATACAGCCTGTGTTTTTCAAAAACCCATTTACTTATGTTATCTAATTTGAGATCAGAGCTTATATACCTTTGTTACAGATGAGGTAACAGGTAAGATGGAGAGTGCTTATTCTGTGAGACCTGTGTACTCCATGTTAGGGAAGCAGGGCTCAAAATCTCTTCATTCTCTCTGATACATCAAGAATATCACTTTCCTACCCACCTGTTAAAATGCCTGCGGCTTCCAGGCTCACGCTCTTCTATTGCCCCTGGCATAGTACCCTGTTGACCTCCTGCTCACTCACTCTCATTCCTTAAAGTCTGTGGCTCCTACTTACAGGACCCTCTTCTATCACACGTTACCATAATCCTGGTTCAATTTAGTGTGTGTCCCATTTAACTCTCAGGCCTTCTATTTATTTTATGTTTTTTTTTTATTATTATGTTTTCCCTGTCTCAAACGTTTAGTTGAGGGCAGCACGGAAACATTGCATTTACTTGTGATTTTATTTGTATAGATTTAAGAGGTACCAGTGCCATTTTATTACATGACTATGTTTTCCTGTGATGTATTATTCTCAATGACTTCAGTCTTTATTATTTTTTGGACCACACAGCTATACTGAAATACATTTAATCTGAAATAATAAATTCAGACACTTAACCTTTTGACTACAATCTCCTGATTGCATACGCACTGAGTATTTAGATTTTTTAGAGTTCTTTTTGATAACTCCAAATGTCCATTCCCTGAACTCTCTTCTTCTTAACATTCTGCCCTATCTTGACCTTATTTCCTTCTGTGTATTGCTTAGACTCTGTGGGTCTTCATTTAAATTCTTTTGTTATTGGCTGGGCGTGGTGGCTCACCCCTGTAATCCCAGCACTTTGGGAGGCTGAGGTGGGCGGATCATGAGGTCAAGAGATCGAGACCCTCCTGGCCAACATGGTGAAATCCCGTCTATACTAAAAATACAAAAATTAGCTGGGTGTGGTGGCGTGCGCCTGTAGTCCCAGCTACTCAGAGGCTGAGGCAGGAGAATTGCTTGATCCCAGGGGGTGGAGGTTGCAGTGAGCCAAGATCACGCCACTGCACTCCAGCCTGGTGCCTGGCAACAGAGCGAGACTCTGTCTCAAAAAAAAAAAAATTCTTTTGTTATTATCAACTTTAACAAGCTATTGCATTTTATTTCTTTTGTACCCAAACAGAAAAGCCCCAAACATGAACAAAGCCAACTACATGCCTGCATGAAATGTCAAATGTTAAAATCAGCTTAAGGAAATCCACAGCTTCATAGATTACTTCTAATGTAATGTAGAGATTCAATTGTCATCTGGTTCTTCAGCTTCGTTCAGCACACTTTCACTTTTTTTTTCTATTTACGTATCTCTGCAATGTTCTAAACCTTTCATTCTTTCTCCAAAAATCAACACTATTTTTTGTTTTCTTTTTAAAAATAAATTTTGCCAGTATGTAGTAGGTGTATACATTTATAGGGTACATGAGACGTTTTTCTTTTTTTTTTTAATTGCATTTTAGGTTTTGGGGTACATGTGAAGAACATGCAAGACTGTTGCATAGGTACACACATAAACAAGTTTAGTCCATATACATTCAGTGTTATTTTTGATAAGTAAGGACTTACTCCTGCCATTCTGTCATTAGTTTTCTGTTGTTTGATGGTCTTTCTTCTTTCTTTTCTTCCTGTCTGCCTCTAGTAAAGGTGATTTTCTCTAGCAATAAAATTTGCTTTATCACTTTTTATTTTTTATGTGTTCACTGTATGTTTTTTGGTTTGAGATTACCATAAGGCTGGCAAATATTATCTTATAACCCATTATTTTAACCTGTTAACAACTTAACGCTACTTGCATAAACAAACAAGCAAAAAGAAAACTAATAAAAACTCTATGCTTTAACTTCATCTCTGTTTTTTAACTTTGTGTTGTTTATATCTTATTGCACTATGTCTTGAAAAGTTGTGGTAGTCATTATTTTTAGTTCATCATTTATTCTTTCTACTTAGGGTAAGAGTAGTTCACATACCACTGTTACAGTGTTATAATATTCAGTGTCTGTGTACTTACTATTACCAGTATGTTTTTTACCCTCAGGTATTATTTATTCCTTATTAATGTTCTTTTCTTTCTGTTGAAACACTCTATTTAAAATTTCTTGCAGGATAGACTCGGCATTGGTGAAATCACTCAGCTTTTGGAGGAGGCTTTATTTCTCTCTCATGTTTGAAGGATGTTGTTTTGCCAGATATTCTATTCTAGATTAAAAGATGTTTCCTTCAGTGCTTTACATGTGTTATGCTATTCTCTCCTGGCCTGTAAGGTTTCCATTGAAAAGTCTACTGCTATATTTGAAGCTGGGAGAGCCAGGGAAGCTCCATTGTACTGTATTTGTTTATTTTCTCTTCCTGACTTTAGGATCCTTTCTTTATCCTTGGCCTTTAGGAGTCTGATTATTAAATGCCTTGAGGTAGTCTTCTCCAGGTTAAATCTGCTTGGTGTTCTATAACCTTCTTATACTTGGATATTGACATTTTTTCTAGGTCTGGGAAGTTCTCTGTTATTATCCCCTTGAATAAACTTTCTACCCCTATCTCTTTCTCTACTTTCTCATTAAGGTGAATAACTCTTAGCTTTGCCCTGTTTAGGGTATTTTCTGGATTCTGTAGGCATGCTTCATTGTTTTTTTATTCTTTTTTCTTTTATCTGTTCCAACTCTGTATTTTCAAATAGCCTGTCATCAAGCTCACTAATTCTTTCTTCTGCTTGATTCATTCTACTGGTAAAGGACTCTAATATATTATTCAGTTTGCCACCTGCATTTTTCAACTCCAGAATTTCTACTTGATTCTTTTTTAAATTATTTCAGTCTCTTTATTAAATTTATCTGATAGAATTCTGAATTTCTTCTCTGTGCTATCTTGAATTATTTTCAGCTTCCTCAACACAGCTATTTTGAATTCTCTGAAAGGCCACTTATCTCTGTTTCTCCAGGATTGGTCTCACATTTTTTTATGGTGAACTATAGATAGTTCATTTGATGAAGTCATATTTTCCTGGATGGTATTGATGCTAATAGATGTTCTGCAGGGCCTGGGCATTGAAGAGTTAGGTATTTATTGTAGTCTTTACTGTTTGGGCTGATTTGTATCTGT